TGGACAGCCACATGCAGAAGAATGAAACTGGACCATTTCCTTACACCACACACAAAAATAGACTCCAAATGGTTGAAAGACCTTAATGTGAGACAGGAGTCCATCAAAATCCTAAAGGAGAACACAGGTAACAATCTCTTCGACCTCAGCCTCAGCAACTTCTTCCTAGAAACATCACCAAAGGAAGGGAAATAAGGGCAAAAATGAACTATTGGGACTTCATCAAGATAGAAAGCTTTTGCACAGCAAAAGAAACAGTCAACAAAACCAAAACACAACCGACAGAATGGGAGAAGATATTTGCAAATGACATATCAGATAAAGGGCTAGTATCCAAAATCTATAAAGAACTTATCAAACTCAACACCCAAAGAACAAATGATCCAATCAAGAAATGGTCTAAAGACATGAACAGCCATTTTTCCAAAGACATCCAAATGGCCAACAGACACATGAAAAAGTGCTCAACATCACTCGGCATCAGGGAAATCCAAATCAAAACCTAATGAGATACCACCTCACACCAGTCAGAATGGCTAAAATTAACAAGTCAGGAAACGACAGATGTTGGCGGGGATGCAGAGAAAGGGGAACCCTCCTACACTGTTGGTGGGAATGCAAGCTGGTACAGCCACTCTGGAAAACAGTATGGAGGTTCTTCAAAAAGTTGAAAATAGATCTGCCCTATGACCCAGCAATTGCACTACTGGATATTTACCCCAAAGATACAAATGTAATGATCTGAAGGGGTATGTGCACCCCGATGTTTATAGCAGCAATGTTCACAATAGCCAAACTGTGGAAAGAGCCAAGATGTCCATCGACAGATGAATGGATAAAGAAGAGGTGGTATATATATACAATGGAATATTATGCAGCCATCAAAAGGAATGAAATCTTGCCATTTGCAATTTCGTGGATGGAGCTGGAGGGTATTATGCTGAGTGAAATAATTCAATCAGAGGAAGACATGTATCATATGATCTCACTATTATGAGGAATTCTTAATCTCAGGAAACAAACTGAGGGTTGCTGGAGTGGTGGGGGGTGGGAGGGATGGGGTGGCTGGGTGATAGACATTGGGGAGGGTATGTGCTATGGTGAGTGCTGTGAATTTTGTAAGACTGTTGAATCACAGACCTGTACCTCTGAAACAAATAATACATTATATGTTAAAAAAAAAAGAAAGAAGATAGTAGGAAGGGAGAAATGAATGGGGGAAATTGGTGAGGGAGACGAACCATGAGAGACTATGGATCTGAGAAACAAACTGAGGGTTCTAGAGGGGAACTGGGTGGGGGCAATGGGTTAGCCTCGTGATGGGTATTAAAGAGGGCACGTACTGAATGGAGCACTGGGTGTTATACACAAACAATGAATCATGGAACACTACATCAAAAACTAATGATGTAATGTATGGTGATTAACATAACATAATAAAATAAATAAATAAAACATTAAAAAAAAGTCTAAACCAGTGGTTCTGAAAGTGTCTAGGTATTCCTGGGGTCTCTAAGACTCTTTCAAGGGAGCCATGAGGTCAAACTGTTTTTATAATTTAAAAAAAAAAGAAAGTTTCATAGCTTTTTCACAGTGTTGAAATTTGCATTAATAGTACAAAAAATGATGGGTTGAAACTCCTAGGACCTTGTCACTGTATTTTTCACAAACACTTTCACAGAAAAGAAGAAAAAATTTTCACTTTTAAAACATCATTAAAGGATCAGTGAAAATAGTTAACTTTATTAAATCTTGACCCTTTAGGGCACCTGGGTGGCTCCATTGGTTAAGCATCTACCTTCGGCTCAGGTCATGATCCCAGGGTCCTGGGGTGGAGCCCCACTTCCGGCTCCCTGCTCGTTCTCTCTCAAATAAATAAATAGACTCTTTTAAAAATAAAAATAAAAAATAAATCTTGACCACTGAATATATGTCTTTTTGATATTTTGAATAATAAAATGGAAAGTACACATAAAGCACTTCTGCTGCATACCAGAGTAGGATGGTTGTCTCCAGGAAAAGCATTTCTGTGATGTGGGGGTGAACCAAACTTTTCCATGGACTACTATTATACTTAAAATATGACTGAAAGATAAACTACGTGTATTCAGAATTGTATGTTTGGCAAATATTTTCCTAAAAATGAAGGAAATGAGCCTGTCACTTTAAGGAAAACTGAAGATATTTCTTACCAATGATAAAATCCAGTCTTCCAAGAAAAATTGGAAAAACAGAAAAATTTGTCTTCCATTGCAGCTTGAAACATCCCAGTATCTGAGGAAATTTCCTATAATACCAGTGGTGACATTAACAAATGTGATTTTTATTTATATTATATAGTGGACTGTTTCAGCTTTTGGAAAATTGACATAATCCAGTAAACCAACATTTTCCAAATGATCAATCCATGATTTACAAAATCATGCATGAGTAGCAGATTCATTCAAAATGGAAGATAAACCAATGGATTTTAATGTAACAGAACTCATGAAAAAAAATCACTACCTCAATTTCCACAATGCAACTAACCTTTAAGTAACTAGCATTTGTTAAGTTTGGGTTTAGTATCAAAGAAAAACATCACAATTATCTGCAAAGGCCACTGAAATACTCTTCCCCTTTCTAACCACGTATTTGTGTAAGGCTATATTTTCTTCATATCTTTCAACCAAACAACATATTGCAACTGACTGAATGAAGAAGCAGATATGAGAATCCAAATATCTTCTTCTCAAACAGACATTAAAAATAAACCCATAACATAAAACAATGCCACTCTTCTCACTAAATATTTTCTTACTTTGGAAAATACAGTGTTTTTTTCACTAAAAAAAATGTTTACCTATAATAAGTTTACTTTTGTTATTTTAAATGAATTGATAAATGCTTTTAAACTTTTTGTTTTCATTTTTAATGTTATAAATTGTGATAAAGTATAACCTACATAAACCAAAGTTTCTATGAATCATCAATAATTTTTAAATATGTAGTCTTGAGACCAAAAAATCTGACAACTTTTTGTCTAAATATAAAGTGATACAAGACTATAATAGAGTAATGGCAATCCTCTATAACTGGAAATTGAAGAGAAAGACTATAAGAAACAGCCAAAAGAAACTAATATTTAACTTGTAGAAGAGACTACTTAGTTATTTTCAAATATATGTAATGGAGGAATAATAAGCTATCATTTATTAAATAACTACTATTGTATACCTCATTTAATCCTGCTAACACAACTATGAGGTATTATTAACATTTTTTTGCTGATAAGAAAACTGTCACTCAGTGAGATAAAGTAACATATTCAAACTCACACAGCTAAAAAGTTATAAATCCAAAATTCACAAAATGATTTGAGCCCAAGACCAGGGCTTATTACATTGTGCTTATTTGTCTTTCACACGAAGTAAGCTTAAACTGGTTCTATTTGTCCTCAAGAGACTAAATAATGCCAGACAGATTTCAGCTCAGTGTGTGTGAATTGATATATTAGTTCATGGCAAGGTATTTTTACTAGTCCTTAGGAGATCTCTATGAACTTTTATTGCTAAAACTATACCCTTTAGTGTAAAAGGATAAAAATAATACTCAAAATTGGCAAAGTAACCTATGATTAATGGAGTTTACCTATGAGTAATCTGTTTTCAAGAAAATGGTAAAAATCATATTGGAATTAAGTGTTCTTTTTTTTTTTTAAAGATTTTATTTATTTATTTGAGACAGAGAGAATGAGAGACAGAGAGCATGAGAGGGAGGAGGGTCAGAGGGAGAAGCAGACTCCCTGCCGAGCAGGGAGCCCGATGCGGGACCCGATGCGGGACCCGATGCGGGACCCGATGCGGGACCCGATGCGGGACCCGATGCGGGACCCGATCCCAGGACTCCAGGATCATGACCTGAGCCAAAGGCAGTCGCTTAACCAACTGAGCCACCCAGGCGCCCAGAAATTAAGTGTTCTTTCCAAGCTCCCTAACCTACTCCTCTCCCTGTTCCCCAAGAGTATTGCTTTCTACAACCAATTGGGGATATCTAATACCAATGCATATTGTTAAAAGATATATACATACACAAATAGACTTACAGTTATGAGATTTACTTCAGAATTAGTGTTAACTTACCGAGAAAACAAACAAATAAACAACAACAGAAACATCTTATCCCTGGTTGATTTACAAATTTATTTCTAAAATAGAAGTATTTGGGGTCTTAGAAATTATGTATTAAATTTTAAAATGTATCAATATTTCTCAACCTTGTGTGGGCCACTCCAGTTCCAGATGTTTATGAAATTCCTCCTGGAATCTCTACACTAGAAAACAGACTACAATAATGCAAATGTTTGATTTTGACCACCTTCTACTGAGAAGCACATGTCCATGTAGGAAGTCCGGCAATAAAAGGGATAATAAATAATTCTAAACTGATCTTTGAGATTTAGATGTGGAGGATCACCATTATCCTTCGTTGGCTGTCCTGGATGCCACAACCACCTGATTTCTGTAAACCAGTTCTTATGCCTCCTCCCCACCAAGATAGAAATCAGATGTAACTAGAACTTCTACTTTAAGACAAATTAGGGGAATATGGAGTGAAATGAATAGGTTTCCTACACAAAAGTTTGTTTCTCACTTCTTTTTCAGAGAAAGGACCACTTTTGTTTCAGACAGGTTTAAAGGGTTGAAAATTCTCATTTAGCGATGTAAAAAACACGGTTACTTTTGTGTGGACGTGCAGGCAAGGCGGACTAAAGAAAAGGAGTTTGTGTACCCTGTCCTGAATGATTTCAGCAGACTTGAGGGCTGGAAGAACGTTGGGGTGTAAGGATTGTCCGGGTTGCACCAGGCCAATGTCTTTCCTTTCATATTATACAGAGAAAACGGCGCTGGGAATATAGATTGATGTCAGCCCCCTTTCTTATGCTTTACTGCTGCCGAGAACTAACTCTGTCTCCCCCGCCCCTTCCCTCCAACTCCTTTCCCCAATCTGCCCCTCCTTAGATGTGTTTGCACGGACGAGTGCCGAATGGGGAGACAGACCAACTCGTTGGATCGCTTTGCGCAAAATCCACCCCTTCTCTCTCCTCCCTCCCCTCCAGCCTCCGGATCCCGCACAGCCCTCCCTCCCCTTCCCACAGCAGTGTGGGTTTGAGGATGTGTCTCTACTACTAAGGCGGAAGGGGGCTACAAGCAGTGGATAATGTCAGATGCCCAGCTCTCCCCTTCTACCTAAAGCTCCTCTCTGGCTGCACCAGGGTTAGTCTGTGTAAGAAATAGCAGGAACTGTGGCAGCAGCGAGAAGAAGCGGCTGAGACGCGTGGAACCTGAAAAAGTCTGGGTGCTCGGGTTTACCTCATAGCGAGGTCCCAGCCAGCCGTCAGCACCATGGACAGCAGCACCGTCCCCACCAACGCCAGCAATTGCACTGATCCCTATACGCACTCTTCAAGTTGCTCCCCAGCACCTAGCCCCGGTTCCTGGGTCAACTTCTCCCACCTAGATGGCAACCTGTCCGACCCATGCGGTCCGAACCGCACCGAGCTGGGCGGGAGCGACAGCTCGTGCCCTCCGACCGGCAGTCCTTCCATGATCACGGCCATCACCATCATGGCCCTCTACTCCATCGTGTGTGTGGTGGGTCTCTTCGGAAACTTCCTGGTCATGTATGTGATTGTCAGGTAAGGAAGGCGTCAGGGCTCCCACCAGAAACTTCAGCAGCTAATAGGGGCATAAAGGGACAACTGACCCCCCAGGAAGTGTTTGGCGGGAGGATGAGAGAAGGGAAGTAAACAAGGGAGAATAAGGGGGCGACGGTGATAGAGTGGTTATTGTGAGTGCAAAAATCCACTTTTCTCTTTTTCCCTCCGCTGTTAAAAAAAGAATCAAAAATTTCAGAAACAGAGAAGTTGCATTGGTAGAAGATGTAAAGCTCTGGGAGGGGAAAAAAAATGCTCTTAGAGTTCACTTACACTGAGCCAAGAGGGCTCTTGGGCACAGAATCCCACAGTCCCTTTCACAGGAGCTGTGGAAACAGTAATTTGTGAATAAGGAAGAGGAATTTTAGTTAGATTTCCTGGTGAGGGGGTCAATCCCCTTCTCAATTCTTTTCAGACATGAACCTTGGCAACTTTCCTACCCCTGCTGGTTTCCATGTACTTTACTGTACCATGCCACCCCCCCCCCATTTGCTTGTCACACTTGTCCTTACCCCACCGTTCTTCCATCCTGAGGCCACACTCAGTGAGAAAGTTTTTCTGGGGTCTCTCTACAGTAAATAGTGTTGTTTTGTAGTAACAAATGTGACAGTTGTGTTGCTTGGACCATTTTGCAGTTGGCAGCTGCCAGATCTGCTAGGAGAGTCACAAACTGAATTGGGAATAGATGATGTGGTTTAGGAGAAATACAGGGCATGACTGTTTTCGAAATCCTCTGAAAGTGGAAGCCAATTAGAAGTGACCAAAAGCAGCATAATTCTGGAGTATAAACCATTATATAGGAAGTTACAGTGGTTGTTCTGGGAGGAAAAACTGCCTTTATCAGTGATATTATTTCAAAAGAGTTTGTGGCCCATTTTCTGTTTACCTAGATGTTCCAGGTTTATTTGGCAGAGTGTGCAAGCTTTCAATATTAACTATGTTAGTGTTGGTGTGCATATTCAAATCCTACATGCTAATAATGGGATTCTGTATATTCATTTTTGCTAAAGTAGATAAATATTTTAACACTTTAAAATAGTTTCTAATTTGGGATTTTCTTCCTACTCAGGGTTTATGTACGTAGTGAACATGGCATTTTCATACTTAGTTATAATATTTACTTCATCTACTCAGCAAGTACTGCAGGTTTTAATGGAGTTCCTTAATCATTTAACGATCATTTTTCCTATTATGCTTTCATGATCAAGGTCTGCGAGTTGCTTGTAACTGATTACTTCTTGTATGTCTGATCTCCTTAATTAATGATTGTTAAAGAATAAAACTAATTTCTCTAATCTTTTGATGAGGAATAAGATAAGTAGTGTCTCTGAGAAAAGAGCACCATCTATTGAGAAGAAGGCTAACAACAGAAGGGAAAGTACAGGAAGGAAATCAATGGAAGAATTTATTTTTGAAAACATTTACCGTGTATAATCTAATACAAAGACTCATATCAAAGATAAAAGCCGAGTCTCACTTACAGTTATAATAAAAATCATTATTAAAGTTCTGCCTTATGAAGAGAAAATATGTTTCTCATTCGTCCTAAGAAAATTCATAGAATCAAAGCTGATAGGGCTAGAAGGGAACCTAGAGTTTACCTATGCCAGATGAGTAAACTGAGGCACAGAAAATAGTGATTTCTTCAAGGAGAGATAGTTCTTTAGTTCAATAATACTGTATTAGTTCAATATAATATCTATTTTAGCCAATACATTTTTCTTATTAGAGTAGCAAATCATGATTTAATTCAACTAAAATATTGACAGAGTAGATTCAATTAGCTGTAATAATGTGGAAATAATAAAGTACCCCAAATTTATGTCTGGAATCCTGGAGAATAAAGGATTCTACCTTTACCTCTACAATACCAAAGTGTCTGGAAATCCTGCTGTCTGAAACATAATCCTTTATTCCCTTTTATTGCTTCTCTTGGTATTGTCCTTCCTTATTTTTCTCCCCTCTAGCTTATGCTTTTCTATAAAGAGAGAGCCAATAAAGCAGCAACTGGCTGTGAAATAAGAAGATTGGTCTTATTTCAGTGTTTAAGAGATTGCTGGTTGATTGAGTTTGTTTTAAAGGCATTACTTCTGACCTCTTGATGACTTGGAGAAGGATAGTGACATTGCATCTTAGTGAGAACATGATATTATGCTTTATTTCTCTGTACTGAAATTTCGAACAAAATGCAGTATGATTTGAAAGGTTACCCCAAACATCCATCTATGACAAGTTGGGTGTTTAATTCCATAGTCAGGTAACCCTCTGAGAATATGACTGCAAAACAGAAAAATGGACAGTTCAGTGACCAATGAAGTAATGAAGAAAGCATTTGGGGATTGAAGAAAATATGTTTATTTAGCTTAGAATATTTAACTGGACTGTCCAGGCTATGGTGTTTTCACTACAAAATGATAGTTCAGAGATATTATTGCCCCTGTTAAAAAGATGACTATAATGCTACATCTATTAAATTATTGAGGTGAAGTGCTCACTTCCTGCTATTATTTAAAATTCAACAAATACTTTTGAATGGTAAAGTGCAGTTAATGGTCAAGTTACACTCTTCTATCCAGATTAAGGTGATATTTATTAGAACGTTTTAATACATCAAATGAATTATGAGTCTCAGATGACTATAGCAACCAAACCAACAACAAAGGTAAGTGGTAATACAGATGCCATGATTAATACTTTTTCTGCTCTGTGTCTCAACTCCATCATCATTATACCTTCAACAACAACATTATTAAATAGTATAACTTAAGAAGGATTCTTACACAGTGCTGTTCTAAGGAACATAAGGGAGGAAAAGAGATACCATCATATGATCCAAAGATTTAAAATCCAGATGTTAAATGATAAAAATGTTATAACTATTCACCAAATGAAAACTTTTTCAGTTTTAAAGAATATAATATTTGCAAGATAATAATATTATAAAAATTACCACAGAGTCTAAAGAATATGGAGATAAAACATTATAAAATGTGGCAATTATTTAAAATGGGATGATACTTTACTATTGTCAAGAATGTTTTCTAGGGGCACTTGACTGTCTTAATCAATAGAGCACACAACTCTTAATCTTGGGGTTGTGAGTGCAAGCCCCACGTTAAGTGTGGAGATTACTTAAAAATCAAACCTTTAAGAGAAAAAGAATGTGTTTTTTTTTAATTAACCAAAATAGTACACAAAGTTATAGCCACCAGGAATGTTTCACTTTCTGAGAACACTTGACCCAAATATAGAATTAACCATAAATATAAAAACTGATATTGCCCCACATATATTTATCTTGTGAGATTTTCTTCCAAAGATTTGTCCTTATAGTCATGAATATGGCCTTTGCACACACTGTTTAAAAAAGTAGAGGGTTGGAAACCGTTAGATCTTTATGAGCTGTGTAAACCATCCTTCCAATAAATTACCAATGAAGAGTGTCAAATGATATTGCCTTCATTTTTCAGATTATTTCTTAATTTGACTAGATGAATTCTCAATGTGTCTAGTTATCAGAGCAGAGCACTTAAATATATGCAAGATTTTATTGTCATTTTTCTTTCACTAAAAGGTATTTCTCATTTTAAAACACTTGTTCTATATACTAAATATTTGATTTAGGTTTAAGCTGCAAAGTGATCAGTCATGCCTGCTTGGAACAGAACTACAAGCTTTTTTACTTCATATATAAGTTGCTGGGAAAATAAGGAATAACAATATTTTATCTAAGGTTATATATATTTATGTATATATATATATATACACAAATACATATATACATATGAATTAATTTCAATGCATATGTCCCTGAATATGATCACTAGTAATTTTTATAAAATAAAAAAGAAAGTTGTTTATTTAGAAAGCTCATATACAAACAAAGCTCATTTTCTTGTTTTTTTAAACTATAAAATATCCTAGCTAGAAGACGGATTTAAAGGGAAAAAAAATCCTGCTAAATAAAATCTGTCCTTTACATAATGGTTTATATGAAAACCTAAGAATTTAATTGTATTCCTTTCACTTCACAATGGAGAGCTTCTAGTATCATCTATTACAATTTCAACTTTAACTGCTATGTCCCATACAGATGCTAATTCTGTCAGAACAGTCTTCTTCAGTGTGCCCCAGAAAATAAAAGTTGCTTTTCATTTCCTCAATTGTAAGCTGTGTCTGTCATTCACATAGTGTTATCACTCCTTTCTCTCCTTTCTTTCTTGAAACAATGAGCTATCTTATATTTTATGAAATATTTCCAACATAAAGGAATGTATAGAGAGTAATAGAAGATTCTTCACCTTTAAAAATTATATATAATTATACAGCACCTGGGTGGCTCAGCCTTTAAGCATCTGCATTCCGCTCAGGTCATGATCCCAGGGTCCTGGGATCAAGCCCTGCATCGGGCTCCCTGCTCCATGGGAAGCCTGCTTCTCCCTCTTCCACTCCCCCTGCTTGTGTACTCTCTTGCTGTGTCTCTGTCAAATAAATAAATAAAATCTTTAAAAAAATTTTAAAAATAAAATTATATATAATTATAATTATATATACTTCTAGTAATATATGTTATATATTATACATAATAATATCCATTATTTATATAATTATATAATATATAATACATAATTATATATAATTATATGTTATGTAATACATAATTATATATATACAAAATAATGTGTAATTTATAAATTATATTATATATATAATATATATATAAGAAGTTTCCTCTCATCTCCTATTATACTGTCTCCCCAGAGACTATTACTATTATAAATTTGGTGGTTATTATTCATGCATATTTTTAAACTTTTATTTCTGATGCCTGTTTCCACAAACAAAATATAATCTTTTAAACATGTTCTTTGAACTTTACATATTAAACATTTATATTTTACATTAATGTTAATTTAGACATAATTTCACTATTTTCCCAGAGTTGTTCTAGTTCCAGCAGATCAATGATAGAAACAAGATGT